GTGTTCTCTTGATATAATGCTTCACTTTCTCCAGTTTATCTCACACTGTGTTCTCTTGATATAACGCTTCACTTTCTCCAGTTTATCTCACACTGTGTTCTCTTGATATAACACTTCACTTTCTACAGTTTATCTCACACTGTGTTCTCTAGATATAACGCTTCACTTTCTCCAGTTTATATCACACTGTGGTTCTCTTGATATAACGCTTCACTTTCTCCAGTTTATCTCACACTGTGTTCTCTTGATATAGAACACTTCACTTTCTCCAGTTTGTCTCACACTGTGTTCTCTAGATATAACTGCTTCACACTTTATCTCCAGTTTATCTCACACTGTGTTTATCTCTTGATATATATGCTTCACTCTCTCCAGTTTATCTCACACTGTGTTCTCTTGATATAATGCTTCACTTTCTCCAGTTTATCTCACAGTTTTCTCTCACACATGTGTGTTCTCTTGATATAACGCTTCACTTTTTTTATCCAGTTTATCTCACTGCTGTGTTCTCTTGATATAATGCTTCACTTTCTCCAGTTTATCTCACACTGTGTTCTCTTGATATAATGCTTCACTTTCTCCAGTTTATCTCACAGTTTCTCTTGATATAATGCTGTCACACTGTGTTCTCTTGATATAATGCTTCACTTTCTACAGTTTATCTCACACTGTGTTCTCTTCATATAACGCTTCACTTTCTCCAGTTTATCTCACACTGTGTTCTCTTGATATAACGCTTCACTTTCTCCAGTTTATCTCACACTGTGTTCTCTTCATATAACGCTTCACTTTCTCCAGTTTATCTCACACTGTGTTCTCTTGATATAACACTTCACTTTTTCCAGTTTATCTCACACTGTGTTCTCTTGATATAATGCTTCACTTTCTCCAGTTTATCTCACACTGTGTTCTCTTCATATAATGCTTCACTCTCTACAGTTTATCGCACACTGTGTTCTCTTAATATAACGCTTCACTTTCTCCAGTTTATCTCACACTGTGTTCTCTTGATATAACGCTTCACTTTTTCCAGTTTATCTCATGCTGTGTTCTCTTGATATAATGCTTCACTTTCTCCAGTTTATCTCACACTGTGTTCTCTTGATATAATGCTTCACTTTCTCCAGTTTATCTCACCCTGTTTCTCTTGATATAATGCTTCACTTTCTACAGTTTATCTCACACTGTGTTCTCTTCATATAACGCTTCACTTTCTCCAGTTTATCTCACACTGTGTTCTCTTGATATAATGCTTCACTTTCTCCAGTTTATCTCACACTGTGTTCTCTTGATATAACACTTCACTTTCTGCAGTTTGTCTCACACTGTGTTCTCTTGATATAAAGCTTCACTTTCTCCAGTTTATCTCACACTGTGTTCTCTTGATATAATGCTTCACTTTCTCCAGTTTATCTCACGCTGTGTTCTCTTGATATAATGCTTCACTTTCTCGAGTTTATCTCACCCTGTTCTCTTGATATAATGCTTCACTTTCTCCAGTTTATCTCACACTGTGTTCTCTTGATATAACACTTCACTTTCTGCAGTTTGTCTCACACTGTGTTCTCTTGATATAAAGCTTCACTTTCTCCAGTTTATCTCACACTGTGTTCTCTTGATATAATGCTTCACTTTCTCCAGTTTATCTCACGCTGTGTTCTCTTGATATAATGCTTCACTTTCTCGAGTTTATCTCACCCTGTTCTCTTGATATAATGCTTCACTTTCTCCAGTTTATCTCACACTGTGTTCTCTTCATATAAAGCTTCACTTTCTCCAGTTTATCTCACACTGTGTTCTCTTGATATAATGCTTCACTTTTTCCAGTTTATCGCACACTGTGTTCTCTTGATATAACGCTTCACTTTCTCCAGTTTATCGCACACTGTGTTCTCTTGATATAACGCTTCACTTTCTCCAGTTTATCTCACACTGTGTTCTCTTGATAAAATGCTTCACTTTCTCGAGTTTATCTCACACTGTGTTCTCTTCTCTGTGTTATTTCACATTATGTTCTCTTATATTCGCTTTCTATTGTTGATCTCACCTCAGTGTGTGTTGAGTGGTGGTGCTGATAATGCTCCTCCTCCTGCTGTGGCTGCTGCTAGTGAAGTATTGATTGGTGCTTGCCAGTGAAATCCGGCCCTGGTCCCCAGGTTGTTCCACGTCCTCAATCAGACAGTCCAGTGTCTGGAGTATTGCCGTAGAGTGGTTGGTCGGCAGTCTAATGTCTGGAGTATTGCCGTAGAGTGGTTGTAGAGTGGTCGGTCGGCAGTCTAATGTCTGGAGTATTGCCGTAGAGTGGTTGTAGAGTGGTCGGTCGGCAGTCTAATGTCTGGAGTATTGTCCTAGAGTGGTTGTAGAGTGGTCGGTCGGCAGTCTAATGTCTGGAGTATTGCCGTAGAGTGGTTGTAGAGTGGTCGGTTGGCAATCTAATGTCTGGAGTATCGCCGTAGAGTGGCTGTAGAGTGGTCGGTCGGCAGGAAAGCAGTGCCAATAGAAATTATCAATAGAGAACACAGGGAGACAGTAGAGAGAGATCGCGGACTGCTTGAAGTACTACCGTAGACACATAGACTGTGTGGGGTACAACAGTAGACACATGGACTGTTGTGGTACTACAGTAGATACATGGACTGTGTGGGGTACTACAGTAGATACATGAACTGTGTGGGGTACTACAGTAGATACATGGACTGTGTGAAGTACTGCAGTAGACACATGGACTGTGTGGGGTACTACAGTAGATACATGAACTGTGTGGGGTACTACAGTAGATACATAGACTGTGTGGGGTACTACAGTAGATACATGGACTGTGTGGGGTACTACAGTAGATACATGGACTGTGTGGGGTACTACAGTAGATACATGGACTGTGTGGGGTACTACAGTAGATACATGGACTGTGTGGGGTACTACAGTAGATACATGGACTGTGTGGTGTACTACAGTAGATACATGGACTGTGTGGGGTACTACAGTAGACACATGGACTGTGTGGGGTACTACAGTAGATACATGGACTGTGTATGGTACTACAGTAGATACATGGACTGTGTGGGGTACTACAGTAGATACATGGACTGTGTGGGGTACTACAGTAGATACATGGACTGTGTGGGGTACTACAGTAGATACATGGACTGTGTGGGGTACTACAGTAGATACATGGACTGTGTGGTGTACTACAGTAGATACATGGACTGTGTGGTGTACTACAGTAGACACATGGACTGTGTGGGGTACTACAGTAGACACATAAACTGTGTGGGGTACTACAGTAGATACATGGACTGTGTGGGGTACTACAGTAGATACATGGACTGTGTGGTGTACTACAGTAGATACATGGACTGTGTGGGGTGCTACAGTAGATACATGGACTGTGTGGGGTACTACAGTAGATACATGAACTCTGTGGGGTACTACAGTGGATACATGGACTGTGTGGGGTACTACAGTAGCTAGATGGACTGTGTGGGGTACTACAGTAGTTACATGGACTGTGTCAGGTACTACAGTAGATACATGGACTGTGTCGGGTACTACAGTAGATACATGGACTGTGTGGGGTACTACAGTAGATACATGGACTGTGTGGGGTACTACAGTAGATACATGGACTGTGTGGGGTACTACAGTAGATACATGGACTGTGTGGTGTACTACAGTAGATACATGGACTGTGTGGGGTACTACAGTAGATACATGGACTTTGTGGGGTACTACAGTAGATACATGGACTGTGTGGGGTACTACAGTAGATACATGGACTGTTTGGTGTACTACAGTAGATAAATGGACTGTGTGGGGTACTACAGTAGACACATGGACTGTGTGGGGTACTACAGTAGATACATGGACTGTGTATGGTACTACAGTAGATACATGGACTGTGTGGGGTACTACAGTAGATACATGGACTGTGTGGGGTACTACAGTAGATACATGGACTGTGTGGGGTACTACAGTAGATACATGGACTGTGTGGGGTACTACAGTAGATACATGGACTGTGTGGTGTACTACAGTAGACACATGGACTGTGTGGGGTACTACAGTAGACACATAAACTGTGTGGGGTACTACAGTAGATACATGGACTGTGTGGGGTACTACAGTAGATACATGGACTGTGTGGTGTACTACAGTAGATACATGGACTGTGTGGGGTGCTACAGTAGATACATGGACTGTGTGGGGTACTACAGTAGATACATGAACTTTGTGGGGTACTACAGTGGATACATGGACTGTGTGGGGTACTACAGTAGCTAGATGGACTGTGTGGGGTACTACAGTAGTTACATGGACTGTGTCAGGTACTACAGTAGATACATGGACTGTGTCGGGTACTACAGTAGATACATGGACTGTGTGGTGTACTACAGTAGATACATGGACTGTGTGGGGTACTACAGTAGATACATGGACTGTGTGGGGTCCTACAGTAGATACATGAACTCTCTGGGGTACTACAGTAGATACAAGGACTGTGTGGTGTACTACAATAGATACATGGACTGTGTGGTGTACTACAGTAGACACATGGACTGTGTGGGGTACTACAGTAGATACATGGACTGCGTTGTGTACTACAGTAGACACATGGACTGTGTGGTGCACTACAGTAGATACATGGACTGTGTGGGGTACTACAGTAGATACATGGACTGTGTGGTGTACTACAGTAGACACATGGACTGTGTGGGGTACTACAGTAGATACATGGACTGCGTTGTGTACTACAGTAGACACATGGACTGTGTGGTGCACTACAGTAGATACATGGACTGTGTGGGGTACTACAGTAGATACATGGACTGTGTGGTGTACTACAGTAGACACATGGACTGTGTGGGGTACTACAGTAGATACATGGACCATATGGGTACTGCAGTATATACATGGACTATGTGGGGTACTACAGTAGACATATGGGCAGTTTGGATTGCTACAGTAGATAGAGAAACAAATGGTGATTTTATCTCCTGCAGGCAACACAGCTGGCCAGTACCACAGCTAAGAAAACCAAGGAGTTGAGCAGTACAGTCAGTGAGTCTGTCATTAAGCCAACAGCAGACAAGGTGAGTCATCTGTTTATCAGCAAGCTGATAAGTTGTCATCTGTTTATCAGCAGCTGACAGGGTGAGCCATCTATTTATCAGCAGCTGACAGGGTGAGCCATCTATTTATCAGCAGCTGACAGGGTGAGCCATCTATTTATCAGCAGCTGACAGGGTGAGCCATCTATTTATCAGCAGCTGACAGGGTGAGCCATCTATTTATCAGCAGCTGACAGGGTGAGTCATTTGTTTATCAGCAGCTGATGAGGTGAGTCATCTGTTTTATCAACAATAGACAAAGTAAGACATTTGTTTATCAACAGCTGATAAGGGGAGTCATCTATTTATTACCAGCAAACGTTGTGAGTCATCTGTTTATCAACAGCTGATAAAGTGACTCATTTGTTTGTCAGTAGCTGATAAAGGGAGTCATTTGCTTATGTTTTTTGTCACAGAATCAGGATATATGTCTATAATAGGTAACCAGACTATGTGACCATAATACTTAACCAGGCTACATGATCATAATACGTAACCAGGCTGCATGACCACAATACGTAACCAGGCTACATGAGCTTAACACTTTGATGACCTCAAATTTTTAGTCATATCCCTTGGGGACGAACCTCGATGATCACTAAATTTGTGACATCTAGACTGCAGACAGCCTTACGGAGAGTTTTTAAATTGAGCTTCATCCGGATATTTTTTTCATACCAAGATGGCTGTGCCTGCAATTGGTATTGCTTTGAGCTGATACAAGCATTGTTTTTGGTGAAATGTTGGTAATGTTTGTTACCAGCGCATATTCAGCCTTGTTGTCATATCTATTTGTAACAAGTACATTTTAAAGGGGAAAGAAGAGGAGATATAAAAAAGTAGAGAGAGACAGACAAGAAGAATAATAGTTGGATTTATGAGAGGACAAAAGGTTCTCCTATGTGGAGAGTGTAGTATTAAGTCTACACCCCAAACGATCAGGTAATAGTCAGTGGAGGTATGAAAGAGAGTAGTAGAGTGAAGTGGTACAAAGACTACGACAACCAAATAATAGTAACACTCCTATACTCAACAAACTAACGATGGAATAAAAGAACAACTAACAATTGTGTTTGTTAAGAAACAGAATCATATATCTCATATTACACAACCAAGATGACCTAGATACAGAAGATGAAATACTAAGTTATAACTAGAGTGTGCCCAGTTACTGCCTATCCTTCATTACCACTGACAGCAGAATCTACCCTATTCAGCGATAAACTAACAAATAACTCCTACGACTACTCTACAAATCATAAGCCAAATACTAACTACACTCTAGCCATACTGCCAATTGCAGTCTAAAAACCCTCTATCCTATTTCCAAATACCGACTACCATCTACTCTATTTGCCAACCCAGTACAACCATGACAAATCTGTCATTTTACAAATCATCCATCAATGTTTCGTGCATCATCTGCCACCGATCACAAAGCTTACATAGGTCTGCCCTGTCTCCAAACCAGTGACATCTCACAAGTGAGACTTCGCTCCTATGGCACTGTTCTCTCCCCGGAGCCTTTCTCCCGACTGCTCTTACCCAGAACACATCCTCAACTAACCAAACCATGCCGGTCTTAGTTCATTAAACTGTCTTTCCCGCCAAAGAGGGGTTTACAAGCCACTTTGCATAATTGGATGGGAAAACCCCAGGTAATCTAGTGTATCTTTGTTCATTGTCTCTAGGTCCTGCCTATCAAATTTATCACTCGGATCCAACCTTAGTGAGCATTTCTTTGTAAGTTTTATCCCCACATTAGCCCGCAAGTTTCTAGGTCATGGACTTTACATACCCTCTTGTAAAAGTTTAACAGAAACTTTAAGTTCATTGACTCTTGTCTACACTTATCCTTTGTGTGGCTGTGTCTACCACTGCCACATACTGATGAAAACCAGACTGGTAGTATTGATGATTCGGAATCTGCTTGGGAGTTGAGTGAGCATCTTGTGCTGTGTTTTGGTGCAGCATATTGTGTGTGTTGGTGGGCAATCAGCTGCATCTGTCTATGTGTGTTGGTGCACAATCAGCTGCATCTGTCTATGTGTGTTGGTGGGCAATCAGCTGCATCTGTCTATGTGTGTTGGTGGGCAATCAGCTGCATCTGTCTATGTGTGTTGGTGGGCAATCAGCTGCATCTGTCTATGTGTGTTGGTGGGCAGTCAGCTGCATCTATGTGTGTTGGTGCGCAATCAGCTGCATCTATGTGTGTTGGTGCGCAATCAGCTGCATCTATGTGTGTTGGTGGGCAATCAGCTGCATCTGTGTGTGTTGGTGCGCAATCAGCTGCATCTATGTGTGTTGGTGGGCAATCAGCTTCATCTATGTGTGTTGGTGGGCAATCAGCTGCATCTATGTGTGTTGGTGCGCAATCAGCTGCATCTATGTGTGTTGGTGGGCAATCAGCTGCATCTATGTGTGTTGGTGGGCAATCAGCTGCATCTGTGTGTGTTGGTGGGCAATCAGCTGCATCTGTGTGTGTTGGTGCGCAATCAGCTGCATCTATGTGTGTTGGTGGGCAATCAGCTGCATCTATGTGTGTTGGTGCGCAATCAGCTGCATCTATGTGTGTTGGTGGGCAATCAGCTGCATCTGTGTGTGTTGGTGGGCAATCAGCTGCATCTGTGTGTGTTGGTGCGCAATCAGCTGCATCTATGTGTGTTGGTGGGCAATCAGCTGCATCTATGTGTGTTGGTGGGCAATCAGCTGCATCTGTCTATGTGTGTTGGTGGGCAATCAGCTGCATCTGTCTATGTGTGTTGGTGGGCAATCAGCTGCATCTGTCTATGTGTGTTGGTGGGCAATCAGCTGCATCTGTCTATGTGTGTTGGTGGGCAATCAGCTGCATCTGTCTATGTGTGTTGGTGGGCAATCAGCTGCATCTATGTGTGTTGGTGGGCAATCATCTTCATCTATGTGTGTTGGTGGGCAATCATCTTCATCTATGTGTGTTGGTGGGCAATCATCTTCATCTATGTGTGTTGGTGGGCAATCGGCTGCATCTGTCTATGTGTGTTGGTGGGCAATCAGCTGCATCTGTCTATGTGTGTTGGTGGGCAATCATCTGCATCTGTCTATGTGTGTTGGTGGGCAATCAGCTGCATCTGTCTATGTGTGTTGGTGGGCAATCAGCTGCATCTGTCTATGTGTGTTGGTGGGCAATCAGCTGCATCTGTCTATGTGTGTTGGTGGGCAATCATCTTCATCTATGTGTGTTGGTGGGCAATCGGCTGCATCTGTCTATGTGTGTTGGTGGGCAATCAGCTGCATCTATGTGTGTTGGTGGGCAATCAGCTGCATCTATATGTGTTGGTGGGCAATCAGCTGCATCTATGTGTGTTGGTGGGCAATCAGCTGCATCTTGTGTGTTGGTGGGCAATCAGCTGCATCTGTCTATGTGTGTTGGTGGGCAATCAGCTGCATCTGTCTATGTGTGTTGGTGGGCAATCAGCTGCATCTATATGTGTTGGTGGGCAATCAGCTGCATCTGTCTATGTGTGTTGGTGGGTAATCAGCTTCATCTATGTGTGTTGGTGGGCAGTCAGCTGCATCTATATGTGTTGGTGGGCAATCAGCTGCATCTATGTGTGTTGGTGCGCAATCAGCTGCATCTTGTGTGTTGGTGCACAATCAGCTGCATCTATGTGTGTTGGTGGGCAATCAGCTGCATCTGTGTGTGTTGGTGGGCAATCAGCTGCATCTATGTGTGTTGGTGCGCAATCAGCTGCATCTATGTGTGTTGGTGCGCAATCAGCTGCATCTATGTGTGTTGGTGGGCAATCAGCTGCATCTATGTGTGTTGGTGGGCAATCAGCTGCATCTGTGTGTGTTGGTGGGCAATCAGCTGCATCTATGTGTGTTGGTGGGCAATCAGCTGCATCTGTGTGTGTTGGTGGGCAATCAGCTGCATCTATGTGTGTTGGTGCACAATCAGCTGCATCTGTCTGTGTGTGTTGGTGCGCAATCAGCTGCATCTGTCTGTGTGTGTTGGTGCGCAATCAGCTGCATCTGTCTATGTGTGTTGGTGGGCAATCAGCTGCATCTATGCGTGTTGGTGGGCAATCAGCTGCATCTTGTGTGTTGGTGCGCAATCAGCTGGTGTACAATACTGGTCCTGTTTTTAGTTCTCATTTTCATGTGAATTTCTAGTGCAGTTAGTATCACATCTGCCTTACAATTGAAAGGTGCCGCGTTCAACCCCTGCATAATTTTTATTTAACCATAAATTTCAAATTTAAGCTCTTAGCACACTTTCGGCAATAGATCATTGAAGTATTTAATATAAATTTTTTTTTATGTAATAACACGGGTAATACAATTAATATTGATGAAAGCACAGTGTCTTCATGGTAGAGGACGGAAACGCACCTCGGTGTGGCTAACGCAGTCTTGGGGATCGAGTATCCACCAGAATAAGCGGACCACCCTGTGGTGTTATCCACTGTTAGCAATAACATCGCGGATTAGGGTACTCACTTACCCAGGCACTCTAAAAGGCAACCTTTCATATTGGTGCTCTGAAGGTTTCAAAACCCAACACTCATTTTTAATTTTTTTATGAATTCTATTAAAAACCACTCATCTTAAAAAACATCTGCAAACACCCTTGGTAATGAGAGACAGTCTTGCTCGGGACTGCTGGTCAGCACAGTGTAAATACGTAACCAGACTGCGTGACCATCATAACTATCAGGCTATGTGAACATTTAACCAGGCTTCTTCATAATAAAGTAAACACGTTTACAGTGGATGATATCACTGCAGATTGTATCACAGTAGATGATATCATTGCAGATTGTATCACAGTAGATGATATCATTGCAGATTGTATCACAGTAGATGATATCATTGCAGATTGTGTCACAGTAGATGATATCACTGCAGATTGTGTCACAGTAGATGTTATTGCTGCAGATTGTATCACAGTAGATGATATCATTGCAGATTGTATCACAGTAGATGATGTCACTGCAGACTGTATCACAGTAGATGATATCATTGCAGATTGTATCACAGTAGATGATATCACTGCAGATTGTATCACAGTAGATGATATCGCTGCAGACTGTATCACAGTTGATGATATCATTGCAGATTGTATCACAGTAGATGATATCATTGCAGATTGTATCACAGTAGATGATATCATTGCAGATTGTATCACAGTAGAGGATATCACTGCAGACTATCTATTTATATTGTTGCCTGCATTTCCGTAAATACAGAAAATGTGTCTGTCTAGTATTAGATTCTGTATCTGTATTCCAGACTGTATGTGTTTTGAATTCTTTGTCTCTATTTCAGGTCAGAGACGGTAACTTATTAAATGAAGTAGGAACATCAATGAGTGGATTTGCATCAAAGGTGTGTGTTCCTGTCATTGTTCTCTGACACAGTGGCCAGGTTGTTACGGTTTTGAGAAATAACTTTAGTGTGTTACATTCTGGCTACTGTTTGTATGGAGTGATAGACTAGACACTTGCTGTTTGTGTGTAGTTATAGACTAGACACTGGCTGCTGTTTGTATGAAGTGATAGACTGGACACTTTCTGTTTGTGTGTAGTTATAGACTAGACACTGGCTGCTGTTTGTATAGAGTTAAAGACTGGACACTTGCTGTTTGTGTGTAGTTATAGACTAGACACTGGCTACTGTTTGTATAGAGTTAAAGACTGGACACTTGCTGTTTGTGTGTAGTTATAGACTAGACACTGGCTACTGTTTGTATAGAGTTATAGACTGGACGCTTTCTGTTTGTGTGTAGTTATAGACTAGACACTGGCTGCTGTTTGTATAGAGTTAAAGACTGGACACTTGCTGTTTGTGTGTAGTTATAGACTAGACACTGGCTACTGTTTATGTGAAGTTTTACACTGGACACTTGCTACTGTTTGTATGGAGTGATACAGCTGACTGACTGTCTTGTCTCCCACACCTGACTGACTGTCTTGTCTCCCACAGCTGACTGACTGTCTTGTCTCCCACAGCTGACTGACTGTCTTGTCTCCCACAGCTGACTGCTGCAGGCACAAAAGGCTGGAAGGATTTACAGTCATTGTGGGGTGAACCCAAAACGACCTTGACCTCAGCAGATACTTCCCCTGGTGAAAAGTCTTCTCTGCTGGGCAAGACAGCCTACACTAGTGGAGAGTGAGTGTTGTATGTTTGTTGTCCAACAAATTACAGGAGTGCAGAGTGAGTGTTGTATGTTTGTTGTCCAACAAATTACAGGAGTGGAGAGTGAGTGTTGTATGTTTGTTGTCCAACAAATTACAGGAGTGGAGAGTGAGTGTTGTATGTTTGTTGTCCAACAAATTACAGGAGTGGAGAGTGAGTGTTGTATGTTTGTTGTCCAACAAATTACAGGAGTGCAGAGTGAGTGTTGTATGTTTGTTGTCCAACAAATTACAGGAGTGGAGAGTGAGTGTTGTATGTTTGTTGTCCAACAAATTACAGGAGTGCAGAGTGAGTGTTGTATGTTTGTTGTCCAACAAATTACAGGAGTGGAGAGTGAGTGTTGTATGTTTGTTGTCCAACAAATTACAGGAGTGGAGAGTGAGTGTTGTATGTTTGTCTGTCCAACATATTACAGTAGTGGAGAGTGAGTGTTGTATCTTTGTCTGTCCAACATATTAATGTAGTGGAGAGTGAGTGTTGTATCTTTGTCTGTCCAACATATTAATGTAGTGGAGAGTGAGTGTTGTATCTATGTCTGTCCAACATATTACAGTAGTGGAAAGTGAGTGTTGTATGTCTGTCTGTCCAACATATTACAGTAGTGGAAAGTGAGTGTTTTATCTTTGTCCAACATATTACACTAGTGTAGAGTGCAAATTGTATCTCTTTGCCTGTCTAACATATTATAGTAGTGAAGAGTGAGTGTTGTATTTCTTTGCCTGCCCAACATATTATAGTAGTAGAGAGTGAATGTTGTAACTCTTTGCATGTCTTTGTATTCCAACATATTACAGTAGTGGATAGTGAATGTTGTTTCTTTGTGTAACCTATTACAGACTGCCTGGCACAATTGATTGACTGCCCAGCACAGTTGATTCATTACCTGGCACAGTTGATTGACTGCCTGGCACAATTATTGACTGCCCAGCACAGTTGATTCATTACCTGGCACAGTTGATTGACTGCCTGGCACAATTATTGACTGCCCAGCACAGCTGATTCATTACCTGGCACAGTTGATTGACTGCCTGGCACAATTGATTGATTGCCTGGTAGTTGCTTGTTTTTTCAAGGTTGATTGCCTGGCATAGTTGATTGCCTGAATCATCTGTTACAGACTAATGGGGCATCAATGTCTATACTATCGACTGAAACACCCAGTCTAGTGTTTTACAGATAGCTGTAATTTTTGCCTGACCAGCCAAGTCTGCCAGGCAGATACTTGTGCAGTTTGTTGTATCACAACAGAAAAACTTTGCTAAGCATTGAAGCTGATATTTAGTCATTGTTGAAATCTGGAAGTGCAGGATTATTATCTGCCCCTCTAGTGATTATTTGCCATCAGTAACCCAATTCTGTCACATCAGTGACTATGATTCTGTCACATCAATAATTGTGATTGTGTTAGGTATAAACTATGATTGTGTTACATCAATAACCAGATTATGTCACTTCAATAACTATGATTGTGTTACATCAATAACCAGATTGTTTCACTTCAATGACTGTGATTGTGTAACATTAACCAAATTGTGTCATATCATTAACCAAATTGTGCCACATCAATAACTGTGATTATGTCACATCAATAACTGTGATTATGTCACATCAATAACTGTGATTGTGTCTCATCAGTGACCAGATTGTGTCGCATGAATAACTGTGATTGTGATACATCAGTAACTGTGATTTGTGTTACATCAACAACTGTGATTGTATCTCACTTGTCATCCACAGAGAGGCCTCCAAAAACCAGCTGCTAGAAGATGAAGATGAATCCTGGGGTCAGTGGGGTCAAGGGGGTGACTGGTCCTCTAGTAAAGCCTCCAGCAAGGCCAACAACTCTGACTGGTCGGCAGGCAATGATGATGACCTCGAGGCCTGGCTAAATGATGACACTTCCTCACTGTCACGTCCCAGCAAGTCCAAAACTAAACCCAAGAACGACGATGACTGGGACAGTTGGAAAACCACAGAATCCTCCAAGTCTTCCTCATCATCTAGAGGCAAGAAGAAATCCTCCAACAAGACCTCCGGCATCTCTTCATCTGAAGGTTGGGATGATGCTGACTGGAGCGGCGGATTTGTCTCCACTTCCACGTCCAAGCCAACAGAGCCTCTAGTGGAAAACCTGCTGGGCTTGGACAGTGGCACCAGCGTGGCCAAGTCAGCCGCTGGCGATGGTTGGGACAATGAGGTCTGGGCAGCTGACGGGGAAGACACTGATGACTGGCAAACATTGGAACTAACGGGCAATAGCAAACAGACAAGATAAAGAATGGAACCTCAGTCTCTTTGCTGTTACTGTTGATTTCAGTGTTGTATTGTTTTATTGAATCCATATGTCACTGAGCTAGATTCTGACTTACTGAATCTGTGTATCATTTAGCTGTATTCTCATATTCTGGTTCATTGTTTGATTCAGAATCCGTGTATCATTGAGATATATTCTGATCTTTTGGCTTATTGAAACCATGGTATCATTGAGATATATTCTGATCTTTTGACTTATTGAATCCATGGTATCATTGAGATATATTCTGATCTTTTGACTTATTGAATCCATGTATCATTGAGATATATTCTGATCTTTTGACTTATTGAATCCATGTATCATTGAGATATATTCTGATCTTTTGGCTTATTGAATCCATGGTATCATTGAGTTGTAGTCTGATTTTTTGGCTTATTGAATCCATGTATCATTGAGTTGTAGTTTACTGTTTGACTCACACATCTGTTGATAACTAGTTCTCATTTCCCTCTGTCATAAGCTGGCAGACATTTTCCCCGGACAACCAGTAATATCTAGAGAATCTTGGTGGTTGTCATCTCAACAGCTGGCAGACATTTTCCCCAGACAACCAGTGATATCTAGAGAATCTTGGTGGTTGTCATCTCCTCAGCTGGCAGACATTTTCCCCGGACAACCAGTGATATCTACAGAATCTTGGTGGTTGTCATCCCATCAGTTGGCAGACATTTTCCCCGGACAACCAGTGATATCTAGAGAATCTCAGTTGTTGTCATCTCCTCAGCTGGCAGACATTTTCCCCAGACAACCAGTGATATCTAGAGAATCTTGGTGGTTGTCATCTCCTCAGCTGGCAGACATTTTCCCCAGACAACCAGTGATATCTAGAGAATCTCGGTGGTTGTCATCTCCTCAGCTGGCAGACATTTTCCCCGGACAACCAGTGATATCTAGAGAATCTCGGTGGTTGTCATCTCCTCAGCTGGCAGACATTTTCCCCGGACAACCAGTGATATCTAGAGAATCTCGGTGGTTGTCATCTCCTCAGCTGGCAGACATTTTCCCCAGACAACCAGTGATATCTAGAGAATCTCGGTGGTTGTCATCTCCTCAGCTGGCAGACATTTTCCTCGGACAACCAGTGATATCTAGAGAATCTTGGTGGTTGTCATCTCATCAGCTGACAGACATTTTCCCCGGACAACCAGTGATATCTAGAAAATCTCGGTGGTTGTCATCTCCTCAGCTGGCAGACATTTTCCCCGGACAACCAGTGATATCTAGAGAATCTCGGTGGTTGTCATCTCCTCAGCTGGCAGACATTTTCCCCAGACAACCAGTGATATCTAGAGAATCTCGGTGGTTATCTCCTCCTCAGCTGGCAGACATTTTCCCCAGACAACCAGTGATATCTAGAGAATCTCGGTGGTTGTCATCTCCTCAGCTGGCAGACATTTTCCCCAGACAACCAGTGATATCTAGAGAATCTTGGTGGTTGTCATGTCATCATCCTGCTGTGTTCAGATTGTATGATAGAAGTACTGTCTGTGGTCTCATTTTACATGAATGTTTGTACCAGAAAAGATTTTCTAGTGTAAATCCTCAATTGGCTTCATGTTATCATTTAAAATCTGCCATGTGTATGTTATATGATGAAATGAGCATGTTATTTAATTTTTTTTCAAAAAGCGACTTTGTGTACACTTGAACAGAGATCACACAGAGACAGACCACACTGCAGCATCTGTGTCAGTGGAAGTATTAGCAGAATTGGTTTGATCTGATTGGAACAATCATAACCTCCCAAAGACGTTGCCTTGTAGAAACTACAGCATTGAGCTCCATGCAGGATGAACAAGACAACTGCTGTCACTAACACAGTCAATAAAAGCTCAAGTGCTGAAACAAGTCAACCTGTACTGTTGTATGTGTGTGAAACATGGACAGGCAGACAACCTGTAATGCTGTATGTGTGTGAAACATAGACATGCAGACAACCTGTAATGCTGTATGTGTGTGAAACATAAACATGCAGACAAACTGTACTGTTGAATGTGTGAGAAACATGGACAGGCAGATACAACCTGTATTGTTGTATGTGTGTGAAACATGGACAGGCAGACAACCTGTACTGCTGTATGCGTGTGAAACATAGACATGCAGACAACTTGTACTGTTGTATGTGTGAGAAACATGGACAGGCAGATACAACCTGTACTGTTGTATGTGTGTGAAACATGGACAGGCAGATGCAACCTGTACTGTTGTATGTGTGTGAAACATGGACAGGCAGATACAACCTGTAGTGTTGTATGTGTGTGAAACCTAGACATGCAGACAACTTGTACTGATGTATGTGTGTGAAACATGGACAGGCAGATACAAGATTTGGAAGTTCATTTCAAACAATTGTATTATTTCAAGAATGCCACAACACTGCTCCTGATCTCGATTGATGGTAGAACCTGTTTCCTCACAGCAATCCTCTACATGATCGACCTTTTCTGTTCTATTTTCTCCTTTGTTTGTAGACTTAAACATCGTCAGCAAAAGTCCACATTCTCCCTATATCCATTGCCTGAAATTAATGCAGCATTTGTCCGGGTTTCTTTCCTTGGTCGATTACTCCCTAACCTGCTTGACATGAGTCAATATTTTTCTAGATGTTACTGTAATTTTCCCACCACTATCCAAGTGTATATTGTAAAGTATTTCTATAAACACACAGGAGTGGTATCAGGTAAATATGCGGCCATTCTAATAAAACCAGCGCTGCTGAAACTGAAACACGACACCATATCCCTGCATCTGGTCGGGGTGCACCATCTTTTGTTTTCTTCAGAATGTATTTGATGTATTTTACTTTTACTTCTAACAGTAGTTTCTGGTCACAGTTCTAAAAGTGGCGTCTGGTCAGTTCTATAAAAGTGGCTTTTGGTCAGTTCTTTAAAAGTGGCTTCTGGTCAGTTCTATAAAAGTGGCTTTTGGTCAGTTCTATAAAAGTGGCTTCTGGTCAGTTCTATAAAAGTGGCTTCGTGGCTGACAGCTGACTCACTTTTGATGTAGGATCAAATATGGTTGCTTCCTTTTGATGGTGTACGTGTTCTTGATGTTTATCTGTGCTGTTAGCCACTTTGATGCACCTGTGACAGTCATTCATTTCATGGGACCACAGTGCACCTGTGACATTCATTCATACTTTGTGTGGGACCACTGTGCACCTTTGACATTCACACATAGTGTGGGACCATGGTGTACCTGTGACATTCATACATTCATACATTGTGTGGGACCATGATGTACATGTGACATTAATTCATTCAAAAATTGTGTGAGACCACATTGCACCTGTGACATTCATACATTCATACATTGTGTGAGACCATGGTGCACCTGTGACATTAATTCATTTATACATTGTGTGAGACCATGGTGCACCTTTGACATTCATACATTGTGTGGGACCAGGGTGCGCCTGTGACATTCATTCAAAAATTGTGTGATACTATAGTGCACCTGTAACTTTCATTCACTCATACATTGTGTGGGACCACGGTGTGCCTGTGACATTCATTCATACATTGTGTGAGACCACGGTGCATCTGTGACATTCATTCATACATTGTGTTGGACCACGGTGCGCCTGTGACATTCATTCATACATTGTGTGGGATCAGGGTGCACATGTGACATTCATTCATTCATACATTATGTGAGACCACGGTGCAACTGTGACATTCATTCATTCACTCATACATTGTGTAGGACCACAGTGCAACTGTGACATTCATTCATTCATACATTGTGTGGGACCACGGTGTGCCTGTGACATTCATTCATTTATTCATACATTGTGTGTGACCACGGTGCAACTGTGACATTTATTCAATCACTCATACATTGTGTGACCACGGTGCAAATGTGACATTCATTCATTCATTTATTCACTCATACATTGTGTGTGACCATGGTGCAACTGTGACATTCATTTATTCATACATTGTGTGTGACCATGGTGCGCCTGTGACATTCATTTATTCATACATTGTGTGTGACTACGCTGCGCCTGTGACATTCATTCATTCATACATTGTATGTGACCACGGTGCGCCTGTGACATTCATTTATTCATACGTTGTGTGTGACCACGGTGCACCTGTGACATTCATTTATTCATACATTGTGTGGGACAACGGTGCGCCTGTGACATTCATTTATTCATACGTTGTGTGTGACCACAGTGCGCCTGTGACATTCATTTATTCATACATTGTGTGTGACCACGGTGCAACTGTGACATTCATTCATACATTGTGTGTGACCATGGTGCACCTGTGACATTCATTTATTCATACATTATGTGTGACCACAGTGCAACTGTGACATTCATTCATACATTGTGTGTGACCATGGTTCGCCTGTGACATTCATTTATTCATACATTGTGTGTGACCACGGTGCAACTGTGACATTCATTCATACATTGTGTGGGACCGCGGTGCGCCTGTGACATTCATTCATTCATACATTATGTGGGACCACGGTGCGCCTGTGACATTCATTTATTCATACATTGTGTGTGACCACGGTGCGCCTGTGACATTCATTCATTCACTCATACATTGTGTGTGACCATGGTGCAACTGTGACATTCATTCATTCATACATTGTGTGTGACCATGGTGCAACTGTGACATTCATTCATTCATACATTGTGTGTGACCATGTTGCAACTGTGACATTCATTCATTCATACATTGTGTGGGACCGCGGTGCGCCTGTGACATTCATTCATTCATTCATACATTATGTGGGACCACGGTGCGCCTGTGACATTCATTTACTCATACATTGTGTGTGACCACGGTGCGCCTGTGACATTCATTCATTCACTCATACATTGTGTGTGACCATGGTGCAACTGTGACATTCATTCATTCGTACATTGTGTGGGACCATTTTTTAGACTTTTCAGGGTAATTTAAAAGAACATCTTTGCTTGTATTTTAACATGTTCATGT